TCTCTCTCTCTCTCTCTCTCTCCCTCAAAATAAATAAATAAATTTAAAAAATATTTTTAAAGTAATAAAAAATAAAATGGAAAATCTACTTAATAACAGAAACAAAAACTACCTAATAATAAAATAATAAAATATGTAAAAACTGGGGTGCCTGAGTGGCACAGTCTGTTGAGCATCCGACTCTTGATCTCTGCTCAGGTCATGATCTCATGGTTTGTGAGTTCCAGCCCCACATGGGGCTCTGCATTGATGGCATGGAGCCTGCTTGGGATTCTGTCTCTCCTTCTCTCTGCCCCTCATCTGCTTTGTTCTCTCTCCAAATAAATAAACTTAAAAAAAGTGAATATATCAACAAACTTCACAATTGCACAGATGCAAAAGGAGACATGAATAAATGGTATTATGTATCTTATTCTTGATAGAAAACTAAAGAAAGACTCTCTAATTTACCAATACCCTCCAGCCAAAGACACCAAGAGCACATCTATAGTTGCACAAATGGGTTTATTACCTTTGTGCTATTGGGCATCTCAGTAAAAGGGTGTTTAGGAAGGATTTATAGGATTTGGGCTTGTGCTAGGTGACTTGGGAAGGGTTTAAGAAGGTGAGAGTTCTTCTTTGTATTGGAGTTGTCAGGAAGTAGTATTTCGAAGACGGGATATGTTAACAAATCTTACCTAGACAAAGGCTAAAACTGTAATTGGTAAAGGTCACTTACATTACCCAAGATGGAAGGATGTTTCATCATTTTTGTGGTTTGGACAATGTTCCTATCTTTTTTGGTGTTCACGTGATTATAGAGTGATCTTGTTTTTACCTTGATCCCTCACATCACAGAATAACTTTGTTTAATGTTGATGGTCTGTGAAATTGTTCATGTGTAACAGAATACCACCGCCAACACCTGGGTGTCTGGAGGTGTGTTTCGCTTTCTCAAATCTATAAATTAACTGCAGTTTTAACCTTAATTACCAGTTTTGTACATACTTGTGGTATGAAATAACTTGTCAAAACATATCTAAGTTGGGCATCTGAACAAATAAACATTACGGAAGAGTTAGGAAACTAAAAAAACAAATATTGCGAACACAAAAAAGACAGAAGAGGAAAAGGTTGATAAATTTACAAAAAAAACAAAAACAAAAACAAAAAACATGTCACAGTTGGGAAAACCAACCACAAACTCAGATAAAACATCTTCAACACATTTGAGGAAGGCTGATGTCCCCAGTAAAACAAACAACTCTTCTTACCAATGACATGAAAAGAATACTTTTCGAAATAGTTTTCATTTTTTGCAACAATAACGTACCACTGAAAAACATTTTCAAGAAAAAATGGCTGGGACTTTAACACAGAGACACGGGGCTCGCAGAGGAGCCTCAAGGAAGGACTACGCCTCCCAGGAGGCTCTGCGCTGACCGTCTCCGGCCTCCCGACAGGCTCCGCGTGCTTTACGCGCCAGCTTTGGCCTTAGCCAGCGAGTGGCAGAATCGCGGCAGAGGATGGAGAGCAGCGATGAAGCGGCCGTCGAGAAATGCCGAATCCACTTGCGCCCCGGCACGCTGCGCGACGCACCTCCCGCCACGTTGCACCTTCTGCCCTGCGAGGTTCTGGTTAGCCGGCCTGCCCCCGTGGGGCGCTTCTTCACCCCAGCCATCCGCCAGGGTCCCGACGGTGAGCACTCACGACCGGACTACAGCTCCCGGCAGCCCCCGCGCCCGCGCCACTCTCTTCTCGGCGAGGAGCGGCTCGAGGGCTCCTGGGGATCGTGGTCCACTGGAGATGGCTGGAGGGCCCCAGGGAGGCTGCCCCACTAGGCCTGAATCGGGCCCTCACTGAGGCCCCGCGCCTGTCTCCTACAGGACTGGAAGTGTCGTTTCGGGGCCGCAAACTACGCGGCGAGGAGGTGGTGGTGCCGCCCGGGCTCGTGGGCTACGTGATGGAAGAAAAGGGAGAGGGGTTGGTGGGGAAGGGCTTCTCGGAGGGTTCGTCGAATGACAACGAGCAAGAGCAGCAGGAGCTGGTGGAACCCCCAGAGGCGCTGGAGCGGGACTTTGTGAGCACGGGGGCGGGTCGGTGGGGGG